GAAAAGGCCCCACAAGCTCATCTTTGATGATACCAGCCCAAACCAGTACTCCACCTCCACCTTGCTGGCGTCTGAGTCGGACTGGAGCTCTCTGCCCTTTACCAATCCAGCCACGGGCCCATCCATCTGGCCCATCAAGACTCACTCTCATTTCATCAGTCCATAAAACCTTAGAAAAATCAGTCTTGAGATATTTCTTGGCCCAGTCTTGACGTTTCAGCTTGTGTGTCTTGTTCAGTGGTGGTCGTCTTTCAGCCTTTCTTACCTTGGCCATGTCTCTGAGTATTGCACACCTTGTGCTTTTGGGCACTCCAGTGATGTTGCAGCTCTGAAATATGGCCAAACTGGTGGCAAGTGGCATCGTGGCAGCTGCACGCTTGACTTTTCTCAGTTCATGGGCAGTTATTTTGCGCCTTGGTTTTTCCACACGCTTCTTGCGACCCTGTTGACTATTTTGAATGAAACGCTTGATTGTTCGATGATCACGCTTCAGAAGCTTTGCAATTTTAAGAGTGCTGCATCCCTCTGCAAGATATCTCACTATTTTTGACTTTTCTGAGCCTGTCAAGTCCTTCTTTTGACCCATTTTGCCAAAGGAAAGGAAGTTGCCTAATAATTATGCACACCTGATATGGGGTGTTGATGTCATTAGACCACACCCCTTCTCATTACAGAGATGCACATCACCTAATATGCTTAATTGGTAGTAGGCTTTCGAGCCTATACAGCTTGGAGTAAGACAACATGCATAAAGAGGATGATGTGGTCAAAATACTCATTTGCCTAATAATTCTGCACTCCCTGTAATGTCTACCACTTTTCGGGTGTTGTCTGAACCCTGTCTCCCGTGTACAAAGCCCACCTGGTCGTCTGATATGATAGAGGGGAAGATGTTTTTAAGTCGGTTGGCCAGTATTTTTACATATATTTTGGTGTCTGAGTTCAGTAGTGAAATAGGGCGGAAGTTTTGGCAGTGTGTAGGTGGTTTGCCCGGTTTTGGTAGAGTAATTACCCTAGCTGCTAGATACTCTGCAGGGAAGCTTCCTTAGTGGAGGGCATGGTTAAATACCTTGCAAAGATGCGGGGCTAGATGGGGAAGGAATTTTTTGTAGTATTCATTTGTGAAACCGTTGGGGCCTGGGGCTTTCCCTTTGGGTATGGAGTTAATGCATTCTGTTATTTCGCTTTCTGTGATTGTGGATTCCAGAAGTTGTTTCTGGGTTTCGGACAGGGTTGGCAGAGGTATATTGTTAAGGTAGGACTGTATGCCTACTTCATTGGTTGTGGTGTGTTTGGGTCTTTTGAAAGGTTGTATAGTTGACTACAATATTGGGCAAATTCTCTACATATATCTGAAGGTAGGTGGACTTTTTGTCTCTTTTTGTTTATGATATGTGCTATCCGTGTTTGTTGTTGTCTTTCCCTCAGACATTGCGCCACTAGTTTGCTGGCACTATTGCCTTGGACGTAAGTGCGAGTGTTCATCCTTTTTAGCATTATTCCAAATTTGTGGAGTCGGATCTCATTGAGTTTGTTTTGGAGGGCATTGATTTGTGTTTTATGTTCTATTGATGGGTGCTTTTGATTTTCATTGTGTAAATTGTCCAGTTGCTCTTTGTATAGTTTGTATAGTTTATTTTTCAGTTTGCTTCCCTAGGTAAGAGGCCCTGCTTATTAGCGTGCCTCTTATTACTGCCTTGTGTGCGAGCCATATCATGTGTGGGTTCTGGTAGTTTGTGGAGTTTGTAGTAAAATAGTGTTGAAGTTCTTTTTCTAGAAATGCGCAGTATTGTGTGTCTGTGAGTAGGTTCTCATTGAGACACCATGGGCTTCTGTGTTTGTATTCATATGAATTCGCTAATGTTAGTGTCGTTGGTGCGTGGTCCGACCGGTCAACAGTCATGATGTCACAGTTTATTATCCCAGCCATAGTTGATTCATTCATTAAGCAACCGTCAATTCTGGAAAATGTGTTGTGTACTTTGGAATGGTGTGTGTATGCTCTTTCTGATGGATAGAGTGCTCTCCATACATCACGTAGACCGAACGAGGATAGCAGAGTCCTGAGGCTTTTACTGTGTTTTTTAAAAGTTTTGTAATGTGGTGATGATGCTGGCCTGGTGGAGTCTAATACTGGATCTAATACATGGTTGATGTCTCCACTCATAGAAAGTTTACATTTTTATGGGCAAAACAAGAATGTTTTGTATTTGGGGGTCACTAACTGATAACATACAATATTATGGAGGTAAATTTCTAGAAACTCCTAAAATATTCTAACAAAGTTCTAAAAGAAAGGAGACCTTACGAGAGCTCTTGGTGGGGCAGAATCAATACCATTAAATCCTATTTAATACCAAAATAGGTGTACCTCTTCTGTATGATACCTTTAACCATTCACAAAAGCTGGCTAGATTTACTACAGATGAGCTTTTCAAATATTATTTGGCATGGGAAAAAAACAAGGCTAAACACTATTACACTGTCAAAGTCTCGACATCAGGGTGGATTAGGTTATCCCCTGATAAGAGAAGTGTATTTAGCAAACCTGCTCGCTCACATATATAAATTGCAATTACACAACTCTAAACCAGAACCATTATACAAAATAGAATCCTGTACATCTAGAATCAAGAATCTTGAAACTTTACTTTGGCAAGATACTAACGTTAATCCTGTTAACCTTCCTGAGGACACCTCAACCAAAAAAGATTCACTAATAAAGTATACGGGGAGAGCAACTATTACTTTTTTAGAGAAAGTAATTCCTGACCTTAAAAACAAAAGAAGAAGTTACCTGTGCTCTCTCCTGAATCCCTCTATATTTAAACAAATGGAGGTCATTTAGTTACTCCAATGACAATTGAAAGGAAAGCCCATCTGCCAACATCAAGGCAGATCCCTTAGGGAGGTCTGCCTTGACGTTGGCAGGCGGGCATTCCTTCCAATGCCCATTGGAGTAACTAAAGGACCTCCATTTGTTTAAATATACATAGTGATTCAGGAGAGAGCGCAGGTAACTTTTTCTTTTGTTTTTACTGTATGTATTGTGGCTGATGTGTACTGTGGTCGTTGCTGCCGCCCAGGAGTGATGGGAGTGAGCACAGGACTTATCTTTTTGTATTTGTATTCACTTTTTGTGTCACACAGCTTTGTTACAATGCTGCTGCCCATCACATGTGTTTCCTATTAAGGGTTAATAAGTATATAGGGGTGTATATAAAAAATACCCCTATCTGTCTCATTAGAGATATCTTTGCCAGAAGCTCAAGGAAGCAAGGTGAAAGGTCAGTGTAGGACCCGCCTAGGAGGGGTCTGCCTTGACGTTGGCAGGCGGGCATTCCTTCCAATGGCCATTGGTGTAACTAAATGACCTCAATTTGTTTAAATATACATAGGGATTCAGGAGAGAGCGCAGGTAACTTTTTCTTTTGTTGTATGTATTGCGGCTGATGTGTACTGTGGTCATTGCTGCTGCCCAGGAGTAATGGGAGTAAGCGCAGGACTTATCTTTCTGTATTTAAATTCCTGACCTTAATGTATCTGTAACGGACCGTTTCAGCACACAAGGGGTTAAAACCATTTAGGCGATCGTCCCCTTCCAGAGATGCAGGCACAGCTACTGCAGAACACCAATCCGCCAAACAGGAAACCATACGAATGCTGTAAACAGCCGAATATGAAAAAACATACGAATAGGTCTACACTCCTAGCAGTCGAACTGGAACAGCATACAATAAATCCCCCCAAGAATGAGACAAAGCTCTGTGTTGAGGGTCAAGCAGTGAACAGCCAGAGCTGTTTGTTTATTGTGCTTATGTACACATTCTTACACATTAGTACCACCTACAGGGTTTTGGAACACAACCAATAAACACATACAATACACTCAGACACTCCCACACAAAATCCTCCCCTCTGGCTGTGATATGATTACTGAACACAATGGTTAATCTAATTATCACAGCCAGAGAAATACAGTTTTTCCACATTATTCATAACTTGAAAAGTATGCATCACATTCACATAATACTTACATTTTCAGAATCAGCATACTCCAAATACAAACATATGTCAAAATCATACATATTGGTCCAGTGGTTCAAAAGTTAAGGAAAAGTCCTATTTGACCAAATGCAGCATGGTTTTTCTGCCCAAAACCAGTTCAACAGAGTCTTCTATCCTGGAGATAATTGGAAGTAATCTCCAAAGACAGAGGCAAAACTCCATTGAACACATGGCAGCAAAAAGACAGTAAAATACAATAAAATACACAAGGTTACATTTATGACATAAAATACAGACATGCAACATATGCCCAGATAGCTTAGGTCTGAGCGCACATTATTACTGAATGGCGCTCAGAGCACACACATACAGTTCAATTGCCATGGAGCCAAAGTCTTTCCCATAGTCTTTCATGTGAATGTGATGCATACTTTTCAAATTATGAATAATGTGGAAAAACTGTATTTCTCTGGCTGTGATAATTAGATTAACCATTGTGTTCAGTAATCATATCACAGCCAGAGGGGAGGATTTTGTGTGGGAGTGTCTGAGTGTATTGCATGTGTTTATTGGTTGTGTTCCAAAACCCTGTGGGTGGTACTAATGTGTAAGAATGTGTACATAAGCACAATAAACCCACAGCTCTGGCTGTTCACTGCTTGACCCTCAACACAGAGCTTTGTCTCGTTCTTGGGGGGATTTATTGTATGCTGTTCCAGTTCGACTGCTAGGAGTGTAGACCTATTCGTATGTTTTTTCCTATTCGGCTGTTTACAGCATTCGTATGGTTTCCTGTTCGGCGGATTGGTGTTCTGCAGTAGCTGTGCCTGCATCTCTGCAAGGGGACGATCGCCTAAATGGTTTTAACCCCTTGTGTGCTGAAACGGTCCGTTACAATTGGTGGCAGTGGTGGGATCGTTCCTAGAGCCAGAAGGACAGCTACAGGAGACACCATGTCTTTGGATTTACAAGTGGGGGCAACGCATGTCCCAGTACAGCGACCCTAAAAGCAACAGAATGGAACCAGCAGTGTTATACGAGGAGGAGGACCTGGATGGCCGGGATGCATTAAGGAAAGGCATCTGGTACCAGGCCCTGGATAATGTACAATACCAGCGGGGTGAGAGTCTCCCCAGTGAAGAGCAGCGATTGCAGAAGCAAGTGGCCCTGCGTATGCCCTTCCTGGGAGAGCAGCCCCTGGAGGAATGGGTGAAGGAACTAGAGCACCGGGTATGGCAGGAGCTATGGCTGGAGGATGCCTACCAGGCGCTCTGGTGGTATATGGCACAGTATATACCCTGGACAGCTGAGCATGACAAGCCAGAGGGAGAGAAGTTTGATGGTCCTGGCTTGTTATGGGAGTCCTTTGCAGAGCCTGACTTTGGGAGCCCTGCGCAGAACAGACTTCAGGAAATTTTCTACAAGAGGGAGGCTAGGCATGACTGGGATGACCCCCATGAGGTAGAGCAAGACCTGGCTCACCTAGCAACCCTGGAGTGGGAACTGGAGCAGGACTACCGAGATCTCTTCCACTCCATTGGGAAGGCTCAGCAGGACAGCAAGGTGACAGATCCAGTTCCAGACCCATTCAGCTGGGAAGACATTGTTGAGATTTACTGGGAAGAAACCCAGGTGGCGGGTGGAGATGGGACCGAGGTCTCTACACCGATACTGCAGGGAAATGGGAGCCCGAGCTCCATTCCCCAGCGGCAGGCCACCCAACCTAAAAAAACTAAATCAGTGACAATGCATAACACCAAACACCACCCACCAATCCACGCCCCTGAGACCAAGTGTTTGGGCGTAAGTAAGACTCCCACCTGCCTATCCGTTTCACCAGTTCATCACCTAAACCCAAGTGTGACGGCTCCGTCACTGCCCCTATCTGGAAGGAATGGATCCCAAACTGCATGGGATCCAAACCCAGCTCTGTCAAACCCAACCGAAAAACCCAAAAGAATTAAAACCGCAACAAAGCGGATCCATCCCCATGTATCAGAAAACAGCCCCGGACGTCCAGGCGAATTGCCACGTAGCACGATGCGCATGAAACTGGGCAGACTCTTGACCAAGGCAATGAAAATAGCGTTACCACACAAACTTTACCAAATACATCCATCTTTGTACGGCCCAACCGAATCACCACCCTATCGGTCTGTAATTCGACGTCCGAGTGTTGCACCCCCCCAACACCTGCCCCAGAGGAACTCACCAATTCACCAATCCAAAAGGCCCTGAAGAACGCCCAAGAGAAGACAACCGAGAATAACCCCACCTCGAAAGGAGATGAGCACACCGCCGGCAGCACAGCCACTAATCACTGCAGGACCCCAAAAGATACTGGTCTTTTTGTATCTACCGATTTCTTATCTCGCCGAAAGCCCTGTAAGGCATGACGAATGAGAAATGGTTCATGACATCATCCCAACCATTCAACTTGAACAAAAACACCAATGTCGCCATGTTCCTGTCGATTACAGACGGAGACACAAGCTGTGCAAACAAGCAGCATAGGAACCACAGTAAAGTATTAAGCCGTCCCCCCCTTGACTGGGACAGCCCAGTGCAACCTACAGCCTCGTCCCAGGCGTCCCAAACCTTTACATAAGCAGTCCACATGCCAGGCGCCAGAGAATTCCTTATGAATCCTCCAAGCATGACGTCCCGAGCCGCCACATCTCCTCCAGACAGTGAACGAGACAAGGAATCAGCCAAGCAGGGCACAATAAAAACAATATTAAAAGACATACAAAATAATACAAATTGGCTTAATAAGCATACCACCAGGAACGAAGATGCGGATAAGCGGTTAACATACCTTCACCTCTTTTCCTCCTCCTCCTTCTTATCCTCCTCGTTCAGATCAATATATTCATCCAAATTAAGGAGCGAGAAGATCTCAAGGAATTTGCCCCGCCGAATCTTCTCCTTCACTTCCGATTTTAGATGACAACCCAACGGCCAAGCAAATGACACGTGTAAATTCTGCCTGGCTACCTTGGGGCTCTCACCTAACAACTCTGAATGCTTGCTGACCACCCCGGATGTACCTGATCAGAGGGAAGCCACTGTTGTCCCGTCCTGAACACTGCCAGCCGCAGCCACCAGAACCGTCGATGCCACCCCACTCCCGCCTGTCAGCAGACTCCACACCGAACTAAAGTGTGCCTCCTGTGTATCCCTGACAACCGAAGCGTTAAGAAAGGACCTCAAGCTATCCAAGAGATTCCCGGAGTGTAGTGCAGAAGAAGACTCACTGCCAGAACCCCCTGTCGTAGAAGAGCGCAGGGCAGCTGTCCTTCCATCCACCTAGAGAGGTTCAGGAGAATCTTCATAACTTCTGCATCCAAGAGCCGAGTCCTGCCTCAGGACCATAGGAGAAGGAATTGCTGAACTGCGAGAAGATGACAACCTGGGTAGTCTGCTCGTAGGAGCCCTAACCTGTCCATCCTCCCCACGTTCCCAGCCACAGTCCCTGTCCTCAAAATGCCTGGCCCGATTGGCCATACGGGGTGAGCCTACCCCACCGATAACTCCTGCTAAGTGACCTGTAAGCCCTGCTCTATCAACTATAGAAGTTGAACGCCACTTGCTGTAATGTCTCATGGAAGGGCTCCTGTCCCTGCTGCACCGATCCGCCATGGTCTGTCTATCCTTGCTGCGCCTGGTCCTATCCGTAGAACACTCATGAAAAGTAGCCTGGCCGGGGACACCTGGTGACCCGCTATCCCTCGTCCTAGAGCGGTGCTCCCAGACAGCGTGACTCCTCCACTCTGGCCTATCCACTGACCCGGCTCTGTGTAGCCATACGCATTCTCTCCCACCTGACCATCGCACGGGCCGTGCTGTGCCCCCCCAGGCCTCTTTTGGGCCACATTCCCGCTATCAGGGCTCCTACCATGCCTGTCAGGCCTGCCTTGCCCTTCCCTAGCCATAGAAATGCCTATCCCTGCCTGGCTGCCTGAACCAGCTGTACCCCACTTGTGACAGTGGCCTCCACTGCAGTTGACCGGGCCCAAGCTTGGACCCCTTATGTTCCATTCCCTTCCGTGCCTTTGGGTACCCACGTCCAGCCCCACACAGATACAAGGCCTGTGGGGCCTGACTCAACGAGTGCAGCAGGGGCGTCTCCAGCATTGGTCGCAGACCTGGCGGCATTCCCAGTCTCGCCATAGCCCATCGTCTTCTGCATCCGAAGGGGCGCAGCCTGACCTGGGAGACGCAGATGTGCTGCATCCCATCACCGACCTGCTTCAGCAACACCGCCTGACGTAGACCACCTGCCAGGGGCCTCCGTGGCCGAGACCTCATGCCCAGCCGCCGCACTACCGACCTCCGCCTCAACCACACGGACTGCTCTGGAAGCGTCTGCCGCAGGAGCAGCTCCTGGGGATTGGCTCCTCCGTGCCGGCACCAAACTGGGGCTCAAGCGTTGGGGAGGCCTCGTTCTCTGTGCGGGCTGTCACTCCAAGTCCACCGCAGGCCCTCCATATGGCCCACCTATCCGCTCCTGCAGCGATGCAATGCCATGCCCCCTCACCGCCACCCGAACACCTGCAAGGAATTCTTCAACAGGATCCATCTAAAGGAGAAAGAAAAAACCTACCCAAACCTGACAGACAACTGACAGGTATGTTTAGGTTTAGTTAAAATGGCCACTTCACAAAATGGCCGGTATAAATACTCCCAGCGTCGCTCCTCCCCACCCAGCTTGCTAGCTGTCACTCAACTGCTATGCCTATCTCCTGGCTCTGTCAAGGCCCGCTCCATGGGCTACATTACTGAGTACATAGCTTTGTCCTATTGATTGTGACAGGATCATGAGCCATTTGCGATCAAGGAGATGGCCATTGTGCGGCTCGAGCTAGGTCTGAGCTTAATACGGTGAAAACCTCCTTCCATCTGGTAGGAGAAAGGGGATTAATAGTAGGAAAGAGAAGAGAGAATATCTAGGTAACTAAAAAAGAAACAGAGAAGGCAGTAAAGAGGAAAAAAAAGAGAAAAAAGTAGTGGTAGTGGGTGTAGGTACAACGCATGACTGTATCTGCTCAAACCCCTTGTACTGGTGGTCAGGGGTATCTGATGAGTATCTCTCCATGTCCTGTCCAAGTTGTTGCATTAATATATGTTTGATATATCTTTTTTGATATTTTAATATGTTGAGATAAAACGTATGCAACAATATTAAATCTAAGTACAAACTCAGGCCCTTTGGAGCTTGAGTTGCATAATTAAGACATTGCTAAATATAGTTTGAATGGCCCCAAATGCAGCTGTATAGTTTTGCCATTTTATTTTCTTTTTTGAGGGGGGGGGGCATTTCTAACATATCAATGACTCATTACAAAGTTATGCCATTATAATGGTGTTGTAATACAGGTATTGTTTTGTAGCAGAGCTCCAATACCTAGCATACGTATCTCCGCTATTCCTTCCTCGTAGCTGGAATATGCAGTATAATAATCCAAGACACTTTCCTCCCAGCAACTAGATGACACATAGTTCTGGGAGTCAACAGATTTTATTTTGGCGACACACGGCTTTTATGCACAGACCCCTACATGGGGTCTCTCATACAATAATATATGGCTTTTCCTCCCAGGATCCTTTACAGAAAAATATGCAATATTCTAAAATACCCCCAAAAGAAACGTTAATAACTTTGGAACCCCACAAAAGTAATATAACTGAATAGCTTGGATTTGACTTTGAAGAAATATCACTCAGATCACTTCATTGGTTTCTTTCCCTTAGAGCTACTACATGAGCATAGTGGGTGGGAAGGCAAAAAAAGAACAGGTGCCGATACGCAAGGTTTAGGCATGAGAACCTTCTTTCACTGTGTCTCTCATTTGGGGGAGGTGTCACAGCAAGGGTACATAACTCATTGTTGCACTATAGAATATTGCCATTTAATGTAATTTGTGTAGTGCATATATGAACTGTCTGCCTGGTAGAGGTGTTATTGTCAATTTCAAAAGGGGTTAATTTGATTGTATGGGAGATCAGAGCTTACTACCTCTTTGAAGCTGTGACCCCAACATAGCTACTCTGTGAGGTGTGAGAAGTGGCCTGGAAGTCTGGTTTCAGTATAAACTACCTCTCTCATTTGCAATACAGTTGCAAGAAAAAGTATGTGAACCCTTTGGAATGATATGGATTTCTGCACAAATTGGTCATAAAATGTGATCTGATCATCATCTAAGTCACAACAATAGACAATCACAGTCTGCTTAAACTAATAACACACAGAGAATGAAATGTTGCCATGTTTTTATTGAACACACCATGTAAACATTCACAGTGCAGGTGGAAAAAGTATGTGAACCCTTGCATTTAATAACTGGTTGAACCTCCTTTGGCAGCAATAACGTCAACCAAACATTTCCTGTAGTTGCAGATCAGACGTGCACAACGGTCAGGAGTAATTTTTGACCATTCCTCTTTACAGAACTGTTTCAGTTCAGCAATATTCTTGGGATGTCTGGTGAGAATCGCTTTCTTGAGGTCATGCCTTTTTTTTGCCACACATAGTGTTGTGTGTTTCTTCCAAACAACTCAACTTTGGTTTCATCTGTCCACAGAATATTTTGCCAGTACTGCTATGGAACATCCAGGTGCTCTTGTGCAAACTGTAAACGTGCAGCAATGTTTTGTTTGGACAGCAGTGGCTTCCTCTGTGGTATCCTCCCATGAAATCCATTCTTATTTAGTGTTTTACGTATTGTATATTCGCTAACAGGGATGTTAGCATTTGCCAGTGACTTTTGTAAGTCTTTAGATGACACTCTAGGATTCTTCTTCACCTCATTGAGCAGTCTGTGCTGTGCTCTTGCAGTCATCTTTACAGGACGGCCACTCCTAAGTAGAGTAGCAGCAGTGCTGAACTTTCTCCATTTATAGACAATTTGTCTTACCATGGACTGATGAACAGCAAGGCTTTTGGAGATACTTTTATAACCCTTTCCAGCTTTATGCAAGCCAACAATTCTTAATCATGGCTCTTTTGTGCGAGGCATCATTCACATCAGGCAATGCTTCTTGTGAAAAGCAAACCCAGAACTGGTGTGTGTTTTTTATAGGGCATGGCAGCTGTAACCAACACCTCCAATCTCATCTCCTTGATTGGACTCCAGTTGGCTGACATCTCACTCCAATTAGCTCTTGGAGATGTCATTAGTCTAGGGGTTCACATACTTTTTCCACCTGCACTGTGAATGTTTACATGGTGTGTTCAATAAAAACATGGAAACATTTCATTCTTTGTGTGTTATTAGTTTAAGCAGACTGTGATTGTCTATTGTTGTGACTTAGATGATAATCAGATCACATTTTATGACCAATTTGTGCAGAAATCCATATCATTCCAAAGGGTTCACATACTTTTTCTTGCAACTGTATGTCTTGATTCCCTCTTAGATAAGAAGTCCTTTGATATGAATGGTCATTAGCTTTCAAGAAAAAGCCTTGTGTTCCAATATTATATCCAAAAGAGACATTAATACTTACCCACATATTAATAATTAAGCCTCATTTTTATTGTATTTAGAATGGGACAAGCACAATCTTTTTATCAAGACTAAACATGATTTGTGAACAAGGGGACCACACAAAGTTGGTTCGGTAAACGAACAAGGGGGGTACGGACAGCCGAACAAAGGGAATACCAGTGTAGTTAGGTCCTCTATCCCACTACATGCTGTATAAACACACTGTACATGAAAAGCCTGCACTTTAAAGTTTATTCTTAAAAAAGACATATACAGGGTTATTCCCTAAAGTCCGAATTGTCTAGTACACAATGGGGCAAAACCATCTGGCTGCATGGGGGCCATTTGAACTGCTAAATCTGAAAATTGATCATGCTATTCAACAATTTTTGGATTTTGTAAAATTTGGTTTGGATTGCAGCCGGATCAAATACCGTTGGATGAATGTTTAAAATCTGGAGCTAAATTAGAAAAAAATCTGAACTATTTCCCCTATGTCTGACAGTGCAAGCAGCTATCAGGCAAATAGTTAAAAACCCTCTGTGGACTAAGAATTAATTAAGTGGCACTTGCTAGCCAGCAGTCACATTAAAACAATAAAAAATCAAGTCATATAGGATTTAATAAAACTGCCATATTACTATAAGAAATGTTTAAAACATCCCTGTGCCCATGTGGCATATTATGGCTTATCCACTAACTAAACATTTAAACCAATCATGAAGTCTCCATCCCATGTTGATTGAGCCTATGAAAAAACTGGGGGAAGACATTATTCCCCCCTTCCCTAGTTAGATAAGTAGTAATTGCACTGCCTTATAATTGGGAAAACTGAGGATCAAATCCCAGTAAGACCTCCTTAGTATTAAGTGTCCTTGGACAAGACACCTAACAATATACATCCACCTTTCTCAAATTCTCATAGATAGTAAGATCTTTTGAGCAGGGTCCTTTCTATAAATGTGGACTATGTTGGCACTATGTAAATGCTAATGACCATTACAATAATTAACTATATGAGTATTAACAAAAATCAAAAAGATTATGCTATAAAATGAATCCCTATTATTCCGTTAGTTTGCATCTTTTCCCTATGATGACTCAATGTAGATTGAGCACTATGAGCCCATATGCAATATACCCATATATTGGCTTTCCCACATTATGTCAGCTATTGCATTACATGGTAAGATTTACCACACTTTGCAATATGAGTAAGAGCGTGCAGATTGGATGGCTAGTAAGCCTATCAATCCAAGTGCTCTGATTGCAAAGTCTCAAGACAGCAGGGAAAAAGCTCAGTGGCTAATACTCAAGCTAGAGTATCTGAAAGGCACATTAAAGTCACATCAATAAAATAAGTACTATTAACTTGGGAATAAAAATATCTAGACTCTGTGCTCTATTATGAAATTAGCAACAAGCTATATGTGCATTTCCTGCTTAAATGGTTATATTTTTCTAAAACAAGGTGCCATATAGATTTTGGTGAGGCCAAACATTAAAACTCCCCAGAGTGCAAATAGGAAAATTACTTTTATCTGCCTGTTATCTGCACATGTCAAGTTTGGAAATTTGAGCATGTTCCAACAACTATCCCAGAGTCCCCAGGTTGATAAACAAATGAGCACTGGCAGGCATCATTTCAGACATCACATTTAATTTCCTTGGACATGGATATTGTTTTAAACACTTTTTTTTCACCGCTATACGCTCGCAAAGAGATTTCAACATCCAGACCAGAATCAGAACCATGCTGATAAGATCCTCAAGGTTTAAACTGTATAGTTCATGGCTGATTTGTGATCACTAATCCTTCTAGATCACAACTCATGCCATGGTTTAAAAAAAAAAAAAAAAAAAAGGCTGTGTTTAAAGCAATGTCAAAGCCAACTTTGGTGTGTAAATAAGGCGTTTGTATTCTGAATAGTAAATTATTTCGTTTTGTTTATTCAGTCCTAGCAAACCTCCTCTGACTCACAGTCTGTGAAAAAGGTTTCATTTTCAAATGAATCTTACAGCACAGTTTGTTCATCCTAGCAGTTTTTATCTACTGCTCTGTTAAATGAATACACAAGAGGTTGCTGTATATTCCAGAAACAGAACAGGAGAAATGACATTTTAAATATAAACACGGTGCAATGAGAACACGTTAATTGGATATCACTGCCTATGCAGTTCTATATGTATATATATATTTATGTCTCTAGATATACTCCGTCATGCGCACGTGGGAATGGTGTTTGTGTCTTAAGTGGTTTTTAGTTTTTTGTTAGTGTGTATATTTAATGTGTTCATCATCATTGTATATGCTAAACATTTGTATGTGTCCCTTACAAATTCCTGCTAAGGTTCGTTATGACTCTTCCCTTCCTGTTTTGTTCCTAAGACCAGAGCTAAGCTGCCAGCAGGAGATTCCTTTAAACAATGATTCTTCTCCAGTCTTGTCCAGCTGCTGGCTATAGTCCCAGCTGTGTAAAAAGGAAAAGGGTAGTGGCCATCAGACATGAAAGCCCATGATTCAAAGCATTTTTTCAACAACTTTCTGCGTGACCAGCACAGATCTCAGGTAAACTGATCTTGAATATTCAAGGTACAGGATGAAATTAGGTAGGGCTATTCAGCATATTTTATAAATACTTATTCTGATTGTTTCTATAGCTATATTTTAGGAGGAGCTTAAATATGCAAAACAAAAAAATAATGAATAACTGAATAATGATGAAAAAAGGACATAAAAAGTCAGATATAAAGAGATATACTGTCTTCCTAATCATCTGCTCTTCTCCATTTGTAGGATCCTGGGAAGCTGTGTGCCCATTGTCTATGGCACACTCCGGCCCTCTTTGACTGAGCTGGATAGGAGATACTTATTTTGCCATGAACTACATCATCCCAGGATTCTGCTATCTCTTGGTGTATCTTCTGAGGAAGCACACATTGAGTCAAGGTTTGTGTTCTTGAGTTTACATTAAAAGAATAGATAGTACAACTAATCTAATTTCTCATTTATGTTAAAACAATTTTCCAATACTTACTAACTTTAAAATTAAACTCCAATATTGGGATGTTTGCAAAAAAAAATTAAATTGTACACTGTAAATAATTGACCCATCACTTATTTTAAAAAAGAAACATGTTTGGAACAGGGATATTTTGGAAAATGAGATAGAAAGAGTAAAACCAGGACAGTCCTATTTAACATTTACTCTGTATATGCAACCATGTGTATTACTCTGCTGTTACACTTTCATCTTTCATGTTCTAGGTCAGGGGTAGATGCCAATGTAAACCATCAAAGTCCCTTATGGGTGCTGGCCTTATTTTTATTTTTTTTAAGTAGCATTCATGTATTCTGAGAATTTTGCTATGGGAGTGTACAGTGGCTGCTTTGTGAGTTTTTTTTTTATGAACTCTGCGTGGTGCTGTTTATGTGTTTGGGATGTCTATGGTGTTATCTAAGTGTATAAACAGTCTTTGTGAAGGGTTGTGTTTTATTTGTGGCATTGTGCTTGTTTGTGGGCTGCCTGTTCTCTGTGTGTGTTTGTAGTCTTTATGTGTGAGTGGCTGTCTGTGGTGTTATGTGTTTGTATATGAACTCTTTGTGGTATTGTGTGTATGTGGACTGTCTGTTGTGTTATATATGTGTGTGGGCTGTCTGTAAAATATGTGTGTACATGGGTTAAATGCACTATTTATGTGTGTATGTGCTGCCGTATTGTGTGTACGTGGGCTGTTTGTGGTATTATGTATATTTATGCAAGCTGTTTGTAGCATTATTATGCTATGTATGTGAGTGGGCTGTTTGTGATGTTAATTGTGTGAATGTGGGTTGCTAGTAATAATTGTATGTGTGGTTAAGGCATGTCTCATGAGAACCTGCAGTAATCCTGGCCTGACCTTTACGCCTAATGTCCAGTCTGTTGCTAATACCTGTTGATTCCAACTTAAAAACATTGCCTGAATATGCCCCTTTCTTATGCAAGATGCTGCAAAGGAGCTTCGTCATGCTCTAGTAATCTCTTGCATCAATTACTGTAATTCTCTCCTAATTGGTCTCCCCCGAAGCCATACTACCCCCCCCCCTCCCGCAATCTGTGGTGAATGCTGCTGCAAGGCTGATCTTTCTCTCCTGTCGCTCCTCTCACACCTCACCTCTCTGTCGATCCTTACACTGGTTTCCTGTCAATTTAAAATACTAACTCTTACATTCTAACCAACTCTAGCCCGTATTACATTTCTTCCGTTCTACTGGTGACCTTCTCCTTTCTGCTGCTCGCACCCTTAATGCAAATTCACACCTGCAAGACTTCTCACGGGTGGCTCCTTTCCTTTGGAACAGCTTGCCTACCCCTGTCAGACTCTCTCCTGGTCTTCAATCCTTTAAGAAGTCCCTCAAAACCCATCTTTTCAAGAACGCTTATGACCTCCAAGAGTAACTTCTATCTCTCAAACCTTCCTCTCGCTCTCTACTATAGGGCTACAGTCCACTCTCACCTTCAGTACTGCTACTTTCCCTCCATGTCTATTTGCTGTCTCTCTTAATACCCTTCCTATTTTGTTTTAATACCCCACCTCCTCTAGACTGTAAGCTTGTTTGAGCAGGGTCCTCAACTACCCATTGTTCCTGTTACATTTTGTTATTGTTTCATTTGGTAAATTCCCCTTTTATTGTAAAGCGCTGCGGAATAAGTCAGTGCCATATACTTACCAAAAATAATAATAATAACAGTAATAGTATACACAAAACTGAGTACAATATAGAGATACCCAAACAATACACAGAGCCTGGTACACAACAGAGATATCAACATAATAGAAATAACACTACAATCAGGAGATACTCATACAATAAATCCAGTGCCATCTTAACATTATGGGCTCCTGGGCAAAGCTGTGCACTGGGGTCCTGCCTACACACAACTCACAGAAATAAAAATATAAATTATAGATACAATTAAGGTTATATTTATTAGTACCTCCAACAAATGCAATACATACATACATACAATACACACACACACACACACTGCTGAATACATACACATACTGCATTGAGGGGTGCAGTGTATGTGGAGCTGTGCTGTAAGTGTGTGTGAGCAGTCCTGTGTGTATGGGGAGTGATGTGTGTGTGTGTGTGTGAGGATGGTGCTGTGTGTGTTTGAGGGGTGCAGGTAGCAAATGTGTTTTATTTTTTTATTTTTTATATATACACACTGTGATAAAGTGAAGGCAGATAGGCCTATAACATTTAACCTCAAGGGGAGTATGTGTAGTATTTGTTGTAGGCAACACAAACCAACATTTAGTTATGGGCCCCTGGGGTAGAGCATTTGGAGAGCGGGGTGGGCCAATGCTCCACTCCGCAGTTTAGCGGTTTTCTTGGGAGACATAGATCCAGGCCAGGGTTTTTTGGACTGTCTCCAACCCACTGCTCAGCTTCAGGTAATCAGCTGCAGCAGTGGGAATAAACCCCTCCCTGCAATGCAGGTAAAGGGGGGATTTCTGGCTTCCTTCCTGGAAGCAGGTTGGCAGGAGGCAAGGAGACAAGGCAGTCAAGGCTGGCTTGGAGCACTGGGAGTGCGGAAAAGAGAGAGAATGTTTATTTCTCTCTTGAAGGGCTGGAAGCAGCAGGCTGTCTAAACACTGGAGTGCTGAGAGCTGACAAAGACACTAGGTTTGTGAAACCACTTCTTGTTTTGTTATAGTTTAAACCCTTGAGAGAGAGGGAACTGGATGTTAGTTAGTGCTCAGACCGAGCTAGGTTTTTGTTTATAGGGTTTTGTTAAATTTTTTGTTTTTCATGTGCTGCTGTCTTTGTGGAGTTTAACAATAAAGTGCCTGGAAATAAGTTGCCTTAAAAGACTGTGCATGTTTGTGCCCAAGAGGACCATGATACCTGCAGACAAGGATCACAATATGGTGGAGAATGCAGGCACGGTAGACCATTGAGGGTCTGTGCGTGTACCAATCATTCGGTAGTTGGTAGACTTTTTATTTTTGCAGACCTGTTTAAAAAAATAAGTAGCACTGTACCTTTAAGACTGTTACCTGCTTGGTGCTATAATGGAGGGGTTCTCAATGTTAGTCCTCAGGACCCCCTACCAGTCCAGGGTTTAGGGATTACCTGGGTGTGTCTAAGGTGTTTAGAAAAAGAAAAAAAAACACCTTTAGAGTCTAAGGTGTTTTTTCCCTTTTTCTAAACACCTGAGACACACCCAGGTAATCTCCAAATCCTGGACTGGTAGGGGGTCCTGAGGACTGGGTTGAGAACCCCTGTGCTAAAGGCTGTGGTACAGGCAATCGCTAAACAACAAGACACCAACCGTTTACTGGCTGCACAGGTTAAGAACCTGAGGGATGCTCAGCAGGAGAATAGAGCTGCCCTTACTGAGGTTTTGCAGATTTCCCCCTGCAGGGAGCGTGGGGACAAGGGACCCAGTAACCACGCTACTGACATCCTGCATAGGGTGACAGTCAGTAGAGGAAGTCTTTAGCAAGCTGAAAAGCATGTAGGAAGCAAAGTGTGATGTTGAGAAACACGCAGGAGAAAGAATGACTGTGAATGAGGCCAGCAGTGTCAAGTTGGTTTATTCTATAAAGAATGAGACAAGTAAAGCTAGTGAATACAGCCAGGGAAAGAAAAATGAAACAGAAGCCCCTGATGTACACCCAAGTGAACAAGTCAAAGGCATGAAAAGCAGACTGACTTGGGGAGTCAGAGAAGACAACAGGAAAGGAGCTGAGCTTAATAGAGAGAAGCAAAGCACCCCAGTTGAGTATAGCAATGCGGTGCACTGTTTACTAGCTGAGGCTACCCAAGAATGTCGACCAGCTGTTGAACAGTTTGGCAGAGAAAAGCAAGGCCGAGAAGTAGTGGCAAAACAAAGTCAAAATAAGAAAGGCAAAGTAGCCGCTTCTGATGTAAGCCAAGAGAGTGCGACCGTTACAGAACCAAACTGTAGTAATAAGATTGGCACGTCCGCACCTAAGCCCAACCAAGGCGAAAGTGACATAATAGATGACATTGGCTTAACAGAAATAAATATTTCAGAGACACCTGGTATTGCTACAAAGGCTTTGAATGATTGCAAAGACTACTGCTACAAGGCCTGGGCGCACTGACTACCTGGAACAGCTGCCAGATTCTGGGAACACAGTCATGGAATTAAAGGCGGGACTCGGAATGCCTGACCGGCTGTTTGATACCAGGGCTGTCATGACTCAGCGAGAGGCCATGACTGCGTCTCTGGACACCCCCGAGGGAGCAGGGAGACCGCCAGACAGCCCAGAGGAAAGCATTGCTGGCATTGAGAGGTGGCCACTCAAGGCCAAGCAAGCAGAGGATACCCATGGGGAGGAAACCAGGCAAAGGAAAGATGAACTAAGCTGGGAGTCTGGGCTTCAGGCAGAAGAACAGCGCTCCATACCAGGCCAGGCCGAGCATGATGGGATGGAGCTGGGATTAAAGGCTGCATTCATGCAGGAGGAGGATGTTCTAGACAGCATCCCTGACCAACATCCTGAGGGTATAGAGATGAGACCTGTAGCATTACCCGTAGGGAGCAAGGAAGGCTCCCAGGAATTCGCATAACTGATGGAGGATGTTGTGGAGCCCTTCACGGAGGGACCTGTTCCAGTGGAGGATGAGCTGGTGACAGAACCAGGTCTTGAAGAGGTTGAGCACCCAGAAAATTCAGCTCATGAAGGAATCATAAGTGGTATACGTATAAATGATATAGAAAAGTTAGTTACACGCAAAGCCTTTGTAAAGTTTGCATTGGGAAGTAACTCGGACATTGAAAGATTATCAAACCAGAAGCTGCTGTGGATGTGGAAGCGGATGATGATTGAGAGGAACTTGGCTGCTAAGGAGCCACACAGTATTGAGTCTCAGCCTAGATCCGCTAGCAACCAAATAAGTGGGGAAACTGAAAAGAAAGGACAAAACCTGA